GAGAGGCCTTTTCCTTCAGTACTAGTCCTGCTTTGGAGTCTTTTGAATTAATACATTGTGACGTTTAGGGCCCATATCATATACCCTCATCTTGTGGGTCTCATTATTTTGTCACCATTGTTGATGATTTTTCTCGGGCTCTTTGGGTGCATTTATTCACTACCAAGACTGAAGATCCTCAATTAATTAAAAAAATCGCAATGGTGTGGACTCAATTCGCCAAAAATATTAAGATTGTTCGCAGTGATAATGGTACAGAATTCCAAACTTTGCGACCTTTTTTTCCAGAAAAAGGAGTAATTTTTCAAACTTCGTGTGTTGCTACACCTCAACAAAATGGTCGGGCAGAACGCAAGCACCGTCATATTTTGGAAATTGCCCGGGCCCTACGATTTCAAGCAAACTTACCAATTTCTTTTTGGGGTGAGTGTGTTCTTGCTGCCGGTTATCTTATCAATCGCACCCCTTCAATGCTAAATAAAGGAAAAAGTCTGTTTGAATTATTATATGGACAACCTCCATCATATGATCATCTTCGGACTTTCGGTTGTTTATGTTACGTTTATCAGAATAAGCGTGATAATGAAAAATTTGCTCCCCGCAGTCAAAGGTGTGTATTTTTGGGTTACTCCTATACTCAAAAAGGATGGAAACTCTTTAATTTGGAGACGGAGCGTCATTTCATCTCAAGAGATGTTCGGTTTGATGAAACAATTTTCCCGTTTACAAAAATGGAGTGTTTTGATGAACAAACAAATACTTTTAAATATCCAAATAACATCCTCTCCACTACAGGCAATAATTTGAGTGATTTGGCTTTACATAACACCTGGATGCATGCACTAACAGAGGATGACTTATCACCAGTGCAGAGACCCTTGGGCCCCACATCACCACCAACTACTGAAACACTTTCACAAAATCATCACATGCAACACGCCCCACCTTCTGGCCAAGAAATGAAAAACTCCCTGGAATCAACGTCTCCTAGTGAACCTTCTACAATCTCATCTCCTGACAACATGGATCCCACTGAGTTCGTCTCTTATGAAATTAACTCAGAACTGACCTCGCAGCAACCCTCTTCCCCCCTTGGACGCGGTCTACGACGGCGGACTCGGCCAGCAAAATTACAGGATTATTTGTGCAGCAACGTGACTCATGAAGACCCCCACCTCATCACCCCTCCCTCTGCTTCCTCAGGTATCCTCTATCCCTTGACTTATTACGTAAATAACAACAAATTCTCATTTCCCCACCGAGCATTTCTTACAGCAATTTCAACTGGTGTGGAACCTACTACTTACCGAGAAGCTATTCGTGATGATCATTGGAAAGTAGCCATGCAAAATGAACTTGCTGCTCTTGAAAAAATAGGAACGTGGACCTTAACTAAGTTGCCTCCACACAAATCAGCCATACGATCAAAATGGGTTTACAAAATAAAATATCGCAATGACGGAACTGTGGAACGTTATAAGGCACATTTAGTCATTTGCGGAAATCATCAAATTGAGGGTATTGACTACCATGAAACATTTGCTCCGGTTGCTAAAATGGTTACAGTTCAAACCATCTTAGCAGTCGCAGATTCCCGTAACTGGGATCTTTATCAACTGGACGTAGATAATGCCTTTTTACATGGTGATCTAAATGAAGAGGTGTACATGCATCCGCCACCTGAATTTCGAAGTACAGCCTCCGGTCTTGTTTGCCGGTTACACCGCTCTCTTTATGGTCTCCGGCAAGCCCCCCGCTGTTGGTTTCACAAATTAACTACGGCCCTTAAATCATTTTGCTTCTCTCAGTCAAATGCTGATTACTCACTTTTTACATTACACAACGAGTCTGGTTCCCTTTGTGTTCTCATTTATGTGGACGATCTCCTTATTACTGGCTCTAATTCGGCTATGGTTGACCAACTCAAATGTTTTCTGAAACAATGCTTTCCCATTAAAGATTTGGGCAAATTAAAATACTTTCTTGGGATAGAAGTGGCGAGAAATTCTTCTAGAATTTTTTATCACAACGAAAATATGTTCTTGATTTTCTAGCCGAAACCGGTTTGACGGGCGTCAACCCGTCTTCTTTTCCGATGGAACAAAATCACCGGCTTGCAATCGACACTGGCCCTTACTTTGATAACCCCGAGCGCTATCGGCGTGTCATTGGGAAACTTATTTATTTGAAGTTGACCCGACCAGATATTAGTTATGTTGTTCATATCCTTGCTCAGTTTATGCAAAAACCATGTATGGCACACTGGGATGCGGCAATTCGGGTTCTCCGCTATCTTAAGTCCACACCTAGACAGGGTATTCTTTTATCTGCCAGTTCAACACTTGAACTTGCTGGCTACTGTGATTATGACTGGGCGGGATGCCCACTCACACGACGATCGGTAACACGTTTTTTCGTCCGCCTTCGGGACTCCCCGATTGCATGGAAAACAAAGAAACAACATACAATGTCTCGCTCTTCGCTAAAGCTGAATATCGCTCCATGGCATCTGTCACATGTGAACTTATTTGGCTAAAAAGTCTTCTCACATCTCTAAATGTTCATAATTAGCAGTCTATTCCATTATATTGTGACAACCGTGCAGCCATTCACATTGTGTTCAATCCGGTCTTCCATGAACTCACAAAACGCATTGAGATAGACTGTCACTTCCTCCGCAATCATGTTCAGACTGGTCTTATTTGCCCTCGACACCTAAGCACAAATGAACAACTCGTTGACATTTTTACAAAAGCTCTCGGTTCTTGATAAGTCCGTATTTTGACACGCATTTGATGTGTGTTGAGATCGGATTTTGATGATTTTCCTATCTTTAAGGTGTTACAAGTCTCAATTTTAGCTCAAGTTATGTTTACCGGGCGTTGGTTCGAGTTTTGTGTTGTTTGTAGTCAAAATCCAGGAATTTGAGCCCGGTACCGGCACTTGAGGAACAATCAGGATGATTTGAGAAGCATTTGAGAATGATTTGATAGCTTTGGAGGTCACCGGAAGATTCACGATGAAGATTTGAAGGAAAAAGAGGTCTAGGATTGGCTACGGGGTCAAAAGAAGATGAATGAAGCTTGAAAACGACGATCAGGATGACCTTCTGTCAATCGTTCAAGCATATCTCTTTGTAGAAACATCCAATGTACACGATTCAAGTTCCATAGGAAAGCCAACTTCAAGGGATACAAATCATATGAAGAAACCTTTGCGAGAATATGAGAGCAAGAAGGTAAAAACAGACGATGAAGTCAGATGATCTCTGCTGCGATTTCAGAATGACACTTTCCACCGTTTTGATCGTATCTCTTGATTGGATGATTCAAATCACATTAGGCAAATTGGGGTGGATAGAGGACTTCATTATCTACAACTTTCATGAATAATGTTTTGTCAAATTCGAAAGTTTTACGCACGCCGTGCGTAGGGGAACGCACGACCGTGCGTCTGAGGCGAGAAAGCAAGGGAGACACTGCCAGCAACGCACGGCCGTGCGTGGGGGGGGGGACGCACGCCGTGCGTAGACCCGGGTTACGCGAAATTGAATCCCAAATCAACCCAAATTCATATTTTTCACCATTTTTCTATAAATAAGGCTCCCCTAACCCTTTTTGGGGTTTACGAACATTACGGAGAGACCTAGGGACGAATTTAACACCGTTTTTACGCTATTTTCTTCCAAGACCCTGGGATTATTTGTAAGTTCATCTTTTTAATTAATGACAATTATTTCTATTCATCTCAATTCTGTTGATTCTTCAATTATGAATTGTGAGTAGTTTAATTAGGGATTTGGGATTGATGAAGGGGTTAATCATGATTGATGGCTAGATTCTTGTCGGTTTAATTGCATGAATGCCGTTTAATTTGTGTTTGAATAATTTAACTGATATCTCTTGTAACCTAGATGGCCACTAGAATTACAATTGCTTATAGAATAAATTAAGAGAGATCTAATTTGTTCTAGGACACATTCACACACACTTAATCGTTCGCTAAGAGATTAGTAACGATTAAGGGGCCGTAAGCTCGCTCGTCTTGGCAATAATTTAGGATCCTGCCGCATGAGAGATCAGCCTGGACCCCTAAATCATTTTACTCTTCGCCGCGAGAGCGGTAAGAACTTAGTAATGATTAGCTAGGCTCAATTAAATTAAATTCATGTAATTAGGCCTGATCTGCCAGAAATCTGGTTACCCCGGAATCAATTCATGTTCCCTTCGTCGTTAACTTAGAAGAAACCAATCTTTTATTTTTATCGCTCATTAGCATTAATTTTATTTTACTCAATCAACCAATCTCGCACGATTGCATTTTATTTTATTTATTTCTTTTTAATCGCTGAATTTAGTTAATTTTTAATTCCCTTTTGTCCGTCCCTGTGGAGACGATACTCGTACTTTCAACCACTTTTCTACAACTATTTTAAGTGCGAGAAAACACTCATCAGTTCTCATCAATTTACCTATCTATTGTCCAAGTTGGGCATTCGCAACCTCCATGCTCCAACTTGAGGGGATGTACAGATTCAAATGTATTTGCATTAGCATATGTCCTTGAAAAGATACGAATATATTCATAGGGCCATATATATTATCATCACATGTATTGTTATTGTATTCTAGCTAGTTTTATATTTCAACACCCACATGGGATGCTATGTACGTAGGATATTAGTTCTTTATAAGCATGTACTCTCCCACCAGAAATAGAAAGCAAGACAATCAAAATATTTGTTTCGCTGGTAACATTATTTTACTTTAGCAAAGAGTTAAGAAACGACTATGTTTGGTTCAACAGAGTGAGAACATTTATTGTTAAAAGTAGGATATTATATTTGACATGCTTGATCTACTTGATTATATAGTACTCTAGAGTCTAGAATGAAATCTTGGGAAATATATAAAGATACTGATAAATGAAATAGGAAAGTTAATGCAACAAAAGAACCCCCCACCCACCCACCTCCCTCCCTCCCCATATTGTGAGAAGGATATGAAGAGTTTTGAGGAATGAGGACTCCAAAGCTCCCCCACTTTCCTCCCCATACACCAAAATTCCCCCAACAAAACAAACTGCTTCACTTTTCTCTCATTCACCCCGAAGTCCTCTAAGGCTCTAACCAACCCCAATCACGGGCTTACAAAAATGTCAAGCAAGAGACCTAAAGTTAAAACCTTTTGAATGATCTCATCCATATGATGCATTTCCTAATAAGAAAAACAAAAACCGGAGAAGTTCTACTTCCATCACACTATTGCATATTCGCATTACCTTTCTATCAATCAAGAAAAGGCAATAAATTCAACATATAATTTATAGGAATACCGAGCGAAAAACTATGCAATTGTAGATTTATAATAAGATAGCAAGATTCACTCATCAGTGATGCTATAGCAGAAGGCTTACCATATTTCTCCACCATTGAAACAAAACGTCTTGATCCCCCGCCAACCCCAACGTAATGCTTTTTAGTAGCTACATAGACCACTCCATGAGGACAACTTGTGCACTGTAAAATAAGGCTGCGAGCTCAAGAATAAAAACAACCCTTCCAAAAAACACTCAATATATGAATAATTGGGAACCTTTTCAATAAGTTTATAAAGACCGGGGAGTGCAGACATCGAATACACTGTTTCAGCCATGAGAATTATATCATAACATGCAGTGCCATTCATAGTTTGACCCTCACTTGTATCATTAGCATCAGTATGAGGAACAATGCATTGAATGTCGCCCCAGACTCCTGCAAAGTAACTCAGTTCAGCCTCAGAACTCAATTTTACTGGGGATATAGCCATGTGCTGGGTATTGGCATTTACATGTGGAATGGTGAGACACTGCAGGACCTCAGCATTAAAATCCTGGAAATGCACAGCAGCAGCAGCCTAACACACCATAGAGAAATTTAAACCATTTGCTACGTCAGAATAGCTTATTTCTCAAGCAGTCCAAGACTCCAAGTGCAGCTTCTGAACTGTTTTGGTTCATTTCCGAGGACATGTTATTTATAGTGGAGGGGTCAGGGGTTGAGGTTGATAAAACTAAGATTCAAGCAGTAATTGATTTGCCCACTCCTAGCTTAATCATGGCCTTACACAGGTTCTTAGGCCTTGCTGGTTAGTGGTTACTACCCCAAATTTATTCAACGATACAAAATGATTGCAGGACCCTTGACACAACTATAGAAGAAGAACTCCTTTGTCTGAACAGGAAGTCAGGAAGTGCAGCAGAAGTCTTCAACCAGTTAAAACTTTTCCTCTCAACAAAGTTGGTGCTACAATTGTCAAATTTTCAGCAAGACTTTGAGGTCCAGTGTGATGCCTCAGCCCACATGTACTGGTTTTGGCCGGATGCGGCAGCAGGATGGCAGGATGGACATCCAACCGCTTATCACTTCAGCGGAAAGATGGCAGATCACCACATTAATGTCGTAGAAATTGCCTTATATAGGAGTAAACATAAACATTAATTGCACAAATATGAGTAAAACTTAAAAAAAATTCCAATAGAAGTAAACAATAGTTTTTTACCCTTAATATCCCTAATCTAATTAATTCTTAAATCGGACTTTTCTTATCCTACTAAAATATAAAAATATCTAAAATATTTTTTAAACATATTGAAATAATAAAAATTAAAAAAAATTAATATAGAAAAACACATTAAAAAATGGAGGCCTTTCCCACAACCTCGGCCACCACCTAGCAATGTCACCTCCGATCTGCGAAAAAAATGTCATTTTATGTAAAACTACCATTTTTCTATGAAAATGCCAAATTTTCTTGAAAACTGCCATCAAGATGACATTTCTAATAAAAGTTGGCATTTTTTACGTTGGTCGGAGCTGGTGGTACTGGGAGGTTGTTGAGGTGGAGGGCAGAGGCCTGCATATTTTTTTAATTATTTTCATTTTTTTAGTTTTTATTTAATATCTATTATTTTATTAATTTTATTAATTTTATTAATTTTATATAATACGGAGTATATAAGTATATTTAATTTAATATAAATTTTCGGGTTTTTTTAATTTTTTACATTTTTATTTTAAATTAATTAATGTTACTTCTTTGAGAAAATTATCACGGATATTACTAAAAGACAACTTGTTTCCCAAAGTATGAGTGTTTCATTTTTTTCCCTAGCCTACCATCCGTATGTCGAGCATGGAGCGTATTTTTTTTTTTTAATTTCCACGGCTGCCCCTGTTTTAATTATGGGAAAAGGTTAATTAATCCCATTTTTCGCCAGTAGCATATAGCCATACACGTTGAAAGGCAACATGACTCTTGGTATTAATTACTATTCCTATTATTAAGGAATAGTTTCTCAAATGGTAACTGCTTCCTTCTATTACGACTCTTGCCGTCTCCATACTCACGATAATTTCCCCGGTGAGACCTTTGTACCGTCGGCATGGAGTCCAGCGGAAAAATCCCCGGAAATGTGGTTATTGGTTAGGTTCGACGGAAAAGGATCACAAATACTATTTTTCTAATCAGCTTGCCGCAGGAAAATGGATAACAAATGCTCTTTTTATAAGGTATATTGACCATTAGGAATTTTATCGGTCTAGGACTCGAAAGTTATGTCTACTATCAATTTTGGACCTAAAAGATTATTTGTATCAATAAGAGACCTAAAACAACCTAAACTATCAATATTGGACTCAATAAATTAACGCCTTCAGTTTCTAGCTAACGGAGTAATGACGCGGCGACACATCATTTAAAAGATGTCTGCTTCGTCTCCGGCTTTATAAGAGTTCACCGACATCTCATCTTCCTTCATTTTTTCCACCCTTCGTCATCACCACAAATCTCAACTTCCTTCATATATATATGCTCCAAGACAAAAGCAGCCTGAGAAGATCATTGCAGCAATGCTAAATAATCAGAGCTCACGCATCTAACTTCATCCTATGTGCTCTGATCGGGCTAAACTTGCAAGTATACAAGTGCCGATGTAGTAATAAAATACCGGTAAATACCGGGTCGATCCACAGGGAAATGGTTGATATTATAAAGTCGAGTATTGAATGCAAAGAATGTAAATGATATATTTTTTTTAGGAACTTTGCTCTTTGAGATTGGTTTAAACAAGAATGAGAATTACTAAGGCAATCGGGATTCACCTAAATGCTTTAATAGTTATTTAATAATAGTTCTTCTCCAATAATTATGAATACGATGTCGCTAATATATTCTCAACTCCGGTTAAGGCAGCGAGAGCGTGGTTTTCGTTACGTGTAAGTCCCGTTACGGCTCACATTCATCTACCGAAAACCCCGTTGAATATCAAGACATCACACCCGTATCATATAAGACCGGATATATTTCTATTCTCGGTGCTATATATGTTTATCCTTTAGTGTTCATAGTTTAGACTTCAACGTTAATTGCAAGCATAAACTAAATTTAACATACTTCTATGTTGTACACCATAGTCATAAACAATCAAAATATAAAGGATAAATCACAATTTATTGGTTTAGAACTTTTATCAAACACCTAGTGTGCATAGAGGTTCATCCCTAGCCTTAGCTAAGAAATTAGCCTCTAATGCTCATATTAATCACAATACAATATGAAATGTAATGGAACATGAAATTACAAAGGAAATAATACTTAAACACCAATGGTTTTGGAGGTTGAAGTTTCCTCCTCAAGAACTTGAAGAAAATACCAAGAACAAAAATATAAAAGCTATGATTTAATCTATGGAATGGAATGTGTTTGCTTGATAAATTGAAGGCTTTATATAGGCTAAAGAATGACATCTTTTAGTCTATTCGAGCCCAACAATCAGGTATGGAGCAATATTTGATCAAGAGATGAGGAAGGTGAAGTTTTCCCATCAAAAATCCTCTTGCACGACCTTTTGTTTGAGCTGAAATCGTCCCAACCGGCCCCGGTCAGTCTAGAACCGGCCCCGGTCGCAAACAGGCTCGTTAAGTGCGAAAAAACCTTCCAACCGGCGCCGGTTATAGGCTGACCGGCGCCGGTTGCAGCGCCCAAAAATGCGCTTCCTTTCTCTTCTTCCGAAATTGATCAAAAAGTGTCGGTTTTTGTCCCGGGATTTTGGGGATGTTACGCTACGAATTTGGACATGATTCCTTCACCAAAGTTGTAGATAATGAAGTCTTCTATCCACCAAAACTTGAATGACGTGATTTTATTCATCCAATCAAACGTTATGGCTAAAACACTGAGAGGTATGCATCCTGAAATCCCACCAGCAACATCTGACTTTGTTGGTTGATTGAGTCTTGTTCCTTTCATATTTTGGCCATGACGTCTTCATAACATTTGTACCTTATTGAGTTAGCATTCACATGAAACTCGAATCGAGTGATTTCGAGTTCTATAGAATACGTTATACTCAAATTATGGGCAGAACGTCATTCTCTTGGTCTAAAAAGTCGTTCATCGCAATGTTTTATGCTCTAGCTCTCATTCTGGAGGTATTTGTCCGATTTCTCTTCCTTTCTTCAACAAATACTTATAAATACTTATGTTAAACACAAGTAAATATAACGGCTATCAAATCCCCCCACACTTGAGCGTTGCTTGTCCTCAAGCAATTTCTTCAACTTTGGATGCCATGGTTAGTTTCAACAAAAATATATGAACAAAAATAATTTAATTTTAAGAGAGGTAAAAACTCATGTAAACTCTTTTATCTTTCTCGGTCCAAAACCAAATTTCTATTAGACACACAAAACTATCATTAGATTTAGAAAAATTACTTATACACTTGAGAGGAGATGAATGGATTGTGACTAGGACTTTTTGGGGTGTAGGATGATTTTTTGGTGTATTTGACTTTTCAGTATAGAAGTGGATCAGTTGAAATTCTTGAAAGAGATCATGAGTTTTTTTTTTCTTTTTTTTTTTTCTTTTTTTTTTTACCCATTTGAATTGGTTCTCAACAAGCATTTACTGAAAGTCATTTTGATCATCCCAGTTTATTTGATGAGATATGAGGGTGGCTTGTTTTCCAAAATGGTTCTTGAATATTTGAGATGTACTTAAACCATTTTTGGACATGGAAGAAGATGATGTTTCCTAGTCACAAGGTTTATTTTGGGAATGGTTTTCAAGAGTAAAAGTAGTGTAATAAATCTAAAAAAAAATGATAGTTTATGTGAATAATAAAAACTTTCTCAACCAAATACCCATTAAAAAGAGAAATATGAAAATTTTACCTTCCTAAAAAAGAATTATTTTTGCACACAAAATTTGTTTAACTAACCATGAAATGCACCCCCCACACTTGAGATACATTGTCCTCAATGTACATTGGAGGATGCAATGGAGGATGAAATCTTCAATAGCGGAATGAGCCGTCTTGTGAGAGTAGGAGATGCATGATACATGAGTTTATATGATGATTTTTTTTTTCTTTTTCTTTTTTCTTTTTTTGTTTTTTTTTGTTTTTGTTTTTTTTTTTTTTTTGGGTTTCAATTATAAATAAATATGAATATGTATTTAACCAAACATATTTATTTATAATTGAATTTGTTGGGTTGCCTCCCAATTAGCGCTTAGTTTAACGTCATAGGCCAGACGCAACGTACCTCTCACGTGGGATTGGGCTCTTGAAGACGTTTGACCAATGTTACCTTTTTGAGATCGTGCGGAGGCCATGGAGTTGTTGGTTCATTCTTTTTATTCCCGAGATGTGTTGGATGGTCCTCGGGTCCAAATATTTGTGCCTTCTTGATGTCCTTGATGTTTATTTCCTTGGGAGGAATAAAAGGCTTCATGTTGAGCTCCATGTTTTGAGTTGGAATGGATTGTGTTTTCCATACCTTGAATGTTTCATCGTCTTCCCCCACTCTTAACCTTACGGTCCCTGCCTGTACATCAATGATGGCTGCGGAGGTGGCCAAAAATGATCTCCCAAGGATGACAGGAACTTCCATCTCTTCCATGTCCAAAACAAGAAAATCTACCGGGAAGTAGAATTTTCCAACTTTGACAAGGACATCCTCCATGATGCCTATCGGATAGCGGATTGTTCTATCCGCCAATTGCAAAGCAACCGTGGTTGGTTGGAGTTCCCCCACACTTAGCTTTTTAAATAGGGAGTAGGGCATAAGATTTATGCTAGCACCAAGGTCACAAAGAGACCTTACCTCCCCGACTTTTCCAATAGAGCATGGAATGGTGAAGCTTCCAGGATCTTTAAGTTTTGGGGGAAGTTTGTTTTGAATGATGGCACTACATTCCTCCGTTAGTGCCACAGTTGTGAATTCTTCTAGCCTCTTTTTGTTGGAGATGATACCTTTAAGAAATCTTGCATAAGATGGGATATCCGCAATGGCCTCCGCAAAAGGTATGTTGATGCTTAATTTCTTGAAAATATCAAGAAATTTCTTGTATTTCTTATCA